GGTGATAAGGGCAAGCCCTCTTTTTACACCTTGTGAACAAAATGACTTTAAATAAAGCATTTGTGGAAGCATAAGCAAAATAATCAAAAAGAGCAGGCCTACAGTGGAAATAAAATCATTTTTGAGCTTGTTTGTCCATGTGACTCGCACACCGCCGATTAGACTCGACTATTAGCGTATCCAACAGTAGGATCTAAATGAGGAATATATTAATCCTCTTAACAGGCCTCTTCTTGCAGTTGTAAGAAGTAATGGTGTCAGTTTATCCACATTCAAGCAGCGCTTACACAGCTTACACGACAGGCTCATTCAGGTAGACTTTACCTGCCCGCTAACGCTTTCCCTCCCCCATGTTTAATCCAGGCTGATCAGAGCAATTCACACAAGGGCAAGTGACCTGAAAACATAGTTGTATTCAGTAAAATGGTCTTAAAATAAACTGGGCACACCCAGATTTCTGTGATTTTGTAGCTCATTAGCACAATAATAGTAATACAATTTACACTACCAAACAAAAGTTTGGAATAATTAAAACTTATTGGTGCTTTTGGGGGGGGGGGGAAATGTTTTCAGTCTCACATGATTCTTCAGAAATCATTCTAATATAATGATTTGCTGCTTTTAAATGAATGATAATTAAAAAAAGTGGCAGTTAAAACGTTCTATTCATGAAAGAATCCTGAAAAAAAAGTATAAATGTTTTCAGTCTCACATGATTCTTCAGAAATCATTCTAATATAATGATTTGGTGCTTTTAAATGAATGACAATTAAAAAAAAGTGGCAGTTAAAACGTTCTATTCATGAAAGAATCCTGAAAAAAAAGTATCATGGTTTCCACAGAAATATTAAGCAGACATTGAAGACTGGAGTAGTGATGCTGAAAATTGAGCTTTGCCATCACAGAATAAATTGCATTTAAAAAAAGTTAAAATAAACAATAGAAAAAAAGAAATTATTTAAAATTGTAATATTTCAAATAAATTGGGCCTTTGCGAGCATAGAAACCTCTTTCAAAAACATCTAAATTATTCCAAGTTATTTAAAAAGTGCACGTTTATCATGATTAACCCCCACATTGCCTACAAGGGTTAACTTGTACAAAGTTTCTTTGTATGAAATGAAGTTTCTGCAGCGCTGCCACCTCGTGGCTACATTAAAAAGAACAGCCTTCTTAATCTGAAATTGCTGAATTGCATGGACTAATAAAATGGAAAATCGTTGATGTGAGAACATATTATTACAAATTATATGATTCGATTAACTATGTATGTCTTATAGAACAAAATGAGAGAATACATTGAAGGAGACAGAGAAGGGTTTATTTATGGGTAGAAAGGATGGCCTTTAAAAATCAATTAGTGCCCTTTTCTTTACACACAGTCCTGAAAATAACCAGAATAGTAACAGCCAGAAAAGAACAGAACTCATTTGAAGAGATAGCGTATAGAAACGTAACCGCAAATGTGACATTTTGTCATAATGGAATTCAGTTTTTCACAGTGATTGAATATGTACATTCCCAAAGCTTTACTTATACACAGACACTATAAAAAATGAAAATACATTTAAACATGGTTGCAAAAGCCTTGTTATAACATATTTAGTCAAAGTCAAAATGATACGAATGAAATACGGAATATAAAGGAAGACGTTGTCGAGAGGCAATCCCAGTTTTAGCTTCTGAAGTGCTACATTTGGTGAGCGGGTGTCATCTTGATAAAAAATGTTCTCTGGTTTTGTGTTGTGACTTCATTCATTCTTGAGATGATATCATTTTCTGTAGAACGGAAGCTTGTTGCTTTAAATCTAATTAATTTGTCAATCAATTAATAACCATTAATTCAAGAATACACCAAGGAGTGTCATGTGGCCTTATCAAATTCTCCTTATAATATACATATATATTCTTGGAGAAAACACTGCGGGTTGCCTAAAAGGTTTAAGCCAGGAGTTTTAACCAGAAAAAACACAGAAAGCACTATTTTTAGAGAAAGCAATATTTGCTTTAAGATCAGCAAAAAAGAATGTCTTCCGACAAAACGAGTGCATGAGGTATAAACACAGCATTAAGGTGAGTTCATCCTCATGGTGAAATAGGTGTTGTAGTCTAGTTCTATTCAAGAATAGAAATATATACAGGATATCATGGACAGCAGCTGTAAAAGGCTTTGACTGATGTGCAGAAAAGAGCTGGTAGAGCAGATGGGTCCAGGAAGGGGGGGGGGGGTTACCAAAACCTTTGGATCACAGGCCAGGAGACATGAAACAAAACGGTTAGAGATCTTGACATTACTAATGCACTCACGGCAAACTAAGCTGCCTCCTTCATTATTACAGTTTAGTTTGAGAAAAAAAACAAAAAAACAAACTTGATTGGATAATGATAATAACAGTCTGAATGTTGAATTTTGTGAAATTAACTATTTCATTAACCATTAAGTCAGTTAACCCAAAAAAAAAAAAAAAAATGTTGAAATGTACTTACCCACAGGCCATCCAAAATATAAAAATAGATGACTGTTTCTTCCTCAGAGCAGATTTAGAGAAGTTCATCATTACATCACTTGCTCACCAATGGATTCTCTGCAGTGAATGGGTGCCGTCAGAACGAGACTCTTATTAAAAAAAAAAAAAAAATTGCGTGTAGGTAAATAATCGGTCATTAAAGGGGTCATATGATGCGATTTAAATTTTTCCTTTCTCTTTGGAGTGTTACAAGCTTTTGGTGTATAAAGAAGATCTGTAAAGTTGCAAAGACTAAAGTCTCAAATCCAAAGAGATATTCTTTATAAAAGTTCAGAGTCAGCCACGCCTACCTAAAACGGCTCGTTCTAACACGCCCCCACATACCTACGTCACTATCTGGGAAGATTTGCATAACGCTGCGTAACTTTTATTCTCGCTGTAGTATTGCTGCCGCCACCATGTCGTGAAGGCACTGTGTGTTTCGTTGTGACAGCGAAACTACTTTGTTTGTCCTTCCAAAAGAGGACGATATCTGCATCGTCATACCTGCAGCTGATCCGTGCTGGTTGCTGAGGAAATACAACAACTTTGCGCTGTGGATCACCGGATCGGCTTTCACCGGCGTAAAAGGACAGTACAAGTCATTATAATCCATAATTATGTCCCCACTGGATGCAACGAAAGCCTCATTTATAATGAGTTTTCATGTTTTTGAATCATCGCTCCGGCCTGATAGGGCATCATCACAATATGATGGGAGGGGCGTAACATTTCCGTCACACGCTTTAGGTATTCAGCCAATCACAACGCACTGGATAGCTGGCCAATCAGAGCACAACTTGCTTTTCAGACCGATGAGCTTTGTAAAAATCGGCGCGTTTCAGAAAGGCGGGGCATAGAGGAGAAACAATGTACAGTATGTGGAAAATAATGTGTTTTTTTTTACCTTAAACCGCATAAACATTTCATTACACCAAATAATGTTCTTTTTAGCAAAATCATATGACCCATTTAAGGTGTTTTAACTTAAAACCGTTCCTTCTGGCGAATACGAGTCCGTAACTTCATCCAGTGAAAAAGTCCTCTTGCATCAAAATCCACTGACATATTTGTTTAGAGATATTTTGGCTTGTAGACAGTGCTTGATATGTGCATTTTTATTTAATGATTCATACAAGATGACTTACAAACAGGCAGCTTTTTGCTTCACAAGATGTTACTTGATGGACTGGAGTTGTGTGGCTTACTTGTGGATTATTGTGATGTTTTTATCAGCTGTTTGGACTCATTCTGACGGCACCCACTCACTGCAGAGGATCCATTGGTGAAGCAACTGATGTAATGCTTAATAATTACTCCAAATATTTTCTGAATGAAGAAACAAACATCTTGGGTGGCCGGAGGGAGAATAAATTTTTTGGGTGAACTATCCCTTTTAAAAAAAAGAAGATACAACACAAAGCATGCAAATCAAGACATGCAGCCAGCAGTAGTTTTACAAGTACATGTTGACTGTAAAGGACATGACAAGCAGATGCAAAATAAAAATGAGCAAAGCAACAGGATGCCATATGACATTAAAGTGAGTTTTGTAAGTAAAGCCAAGAGACGGCATTTCCCCCACCATATAATTGATTTGAATTTTTAGCATTCATGCAGACATTGTTTCCCCACATCAGTTACAACATACTGAGAGTAAAAAACAAAACTTACTTCATTCACACCTAAAATGGAAGAGAGAATAAACAGGTTAAGGAAAATAGTTCTGATATTATAAAATCTCCAGCCGGTGCTCTATTTAGTTTTACTTTATTTACAGACAAACGTAACAGGCACAAATCGATGAACACGGGTGATAACATAAATATAGAGTCATTCTGAGGAAAATGACTGAACTTTGGCAGGACAACCTTTAAACAGTTGGCAAATATTTTGTCCTCCTAGGGAGCTGTTTTTGGATCTTTCTCACGATCGACTCCTAGAGTTTAACCTGGACTCACATACAATACAGGTCTTAAGCACTTATTTCATACCAAAAATAGGTACATACGTTTATTAATTACTTTGGAAAACTCCATAGTGGTTGACAAAAGGACATTACAGCACTTTAACCCTAATATCAGTTTTTAGAACACCAGTATTTTCTAACTACTAAATGCCTATTATTGGGTGATACATACTTAAAAGGCCTGATGTACTTTATTTAGTAGTTTTTGGAACTCATTTGTTTGCTAACACAGAGTTTTTGAACATTAGCATAAATCTTCCAACATAATCTCAGAACCAAATCTTTTCACATAAAATTGGAATTAAAAGGCTATAATCTCTTCATAATCCAAAAAGGGCTGGGGGAAAAAAATGAAGCGTATTAATTAGACTGAAATGCAACATTCATATTTTTATGAGATGGTAGTTTTAAACTGTTTTTAAATGATGCATTGGACGGTTAAAACTATGGAAGCTTATTTCCGCTACAGAATAAAAAATAAAGGTACCTGTGAGTTTGCATCTCGCAATTCTGATTTTTTTTTCTTCTAATTTCTGAGTTTACAACTCACAATGTTTGTCGCAAAATAAAAATGTAAAAAAGGATACAACTTTTCCTCCCTCACAAATCTTTTTTTTTGCAACTGTCATTGCAATTGCCAGTTTCTCTCACAATTCTGAATTTTCATCTTAGAAATGTGAGTTAGCATCTAAAATTCTGACTTCACGTCACAATTATGACTTTTTCCCCTCCGAATCTGGAGAAAGGCAGAATTATGATATAAACTAAGAATGACAAGAAAAAATATCTGAATTATGAGAAAAAGTTGCAATTACCTTTTTTTGGGTGGAAACAAGCTTCCATAGTTAAGGGAGCAACAAGCAACATTACATACAACTTCCACTTGTGATTATGAATACTGGCTAGAATTTTACTGTCTTGCTGATGGTTACACGACTACAAAAACATGTACGACTTCCAAATATATGTCTGAAACACAGCCCAGAACATTTTTTTCAGCTTGCTTCTTTGACAAACAGTGTAACACTTTACATTTATGACTATTTTTCTAATCCACTGCAAATCCAGCATTGCTCCCTAAATGTTTTGTTAAGCATTTGCGCCGTTTGGAATGACATGCAATGCACCTCAACTCTTGAACTTGAAAAGCATATGTTCTTTCAACAGACGCCAGAGAGGACAAAGATATGAGCCAACCCTCTTTGATTTACAGTGCTTCAGCCTAATGTATAGTTACATAATGTACACACACACACTCACTAACAAGTACACTGTATAGATGTAAAAGAAATACATTGTGTGTGTAAAGAGTAACTCTCAGACACATGTACAAAACATGATCTTTTAAATAAAACCAAGTCCTGCACGGTTCATCAGATATCTAGATTTAGCTCGGTGTAAAAATAAATGTTACTCTGCACTTTGTTTGCAGATGAATGGAAATACAAGCTGACAACCGAAGAAAGAAGACCCTCCCTCGTCCCAGTTTGGAAAGCCCTACTGCCGTACTTTTCCGGGAATGTAGTTCCGGTCAATACTTTCATCCTGCAGGAACATGTGAAGACAGCGTTCGTTCTGGGCCAAAGGATGACCTGCAATTCTGAAGAGGAATATGAGCAACATATTTATGTATGCAATCCATGAAATCTGGACAAACTCAAGTCTTTTTGTTAGTATATGTGGGAAAAAAATCCACAATATATTGGTGTAATCATTTCAAGCCCTCAAACACTAATAATTTGCGTGGCTGACTTGTACTTCTTCTATAATTTAGAAGTGTCCGTCAGGTATCATTTCGATGACTAACCTGTTAATGAACTGTTCAAGCCCAGATCGTCTCTCCTCAATAAAGGACTCCTCAAAAATGCCCTCATCTCCACGGAAGGGAAGCTGTCTCTTCAATGCCTTTCCAGGCAATGGAGGCACAACAATCTAAGAAATATTTTCACACATTTAAAACTATTTTAAGCCTACAAAGCATACTGCATCATATGTGATAGACGAATTTCTAAGGCTTCTGAATTATCAACGTTATAAAAAAAGAAAAACTTGAAAAACCTGTTGTGCGCAATCTACTACATGCCTTCTGTCATCTGACTGATAGTTATTATACTTTCAGTAAGTATAATTCTAAAGTAAAGTAAAAAAATTTTTTTTTAAAAAGTATTGAACATGATACATCAGACTTTTGAGAAAAGTTTATTTGTCCATCTCTCAATCATCTTTGTGTTGCATTTCACCATATTTCACCCCCCACATTAGAAACTACAAAACTTTGACCATAAAACTAAACATTTAAATTTAATCCTAATAAGATCAATATGCATGTTATGCAAGTAGTGTGCTATACTGTTATAAAAAAAATCTCTCTGATTATTTTTTCCATATAAACAACAACAGCACTGTTTCCTTGTTTTTGCTGTTTGAATAAAACACAGTTTGAGGTGTTTTTCTTCTCTTTTAGTGTGAGCTCCATTTCTCACTATATCATACTATCTAGGCCTGACCTATCAAAAATGATACAAAAATAAAACATACACTTTAATCACACAGAGTTGTGATACCTTGCTGTCTCTTTCCAGCTCATTCTTCAGCCACTCGAAGTCGCTGTATCTTCGTCTAACACACGACTCCTTCAGTTTAAAAATGGGAAGATTTGTCTGGATTTCAACGGAGAAAGCAGAATAAGTCACATGATTATTAAATAATGTCTACATATCTTAGCTGTGTACACGATGCAGAATGTTCTCGAATTCGTTTAACACAAACGGAGATATTATTAAACCCCAAAAATGATGCATTTGCAAACAGTAACGCGACCAAATGTTTATCTTAATGGCTTAAATACAACTCGCTAGAGGTTGCTGGTTGACAGAGTAACAACAACGGCTAAATTAGCTCAATGTCTCTGCGCAAATCCAACTTGCTCGCACAGAAAACCGATTTTAGACCAAAACCTAGCAATTCACACAATAAAATCACGTTTTTAAAAGCTCTGCGAAGGACAGGATTCTTTCACGTCGAATGAGGCGTTAGTTAGCATTAGCGCGCAGGCTAACGTTAGCTAACTTAGGCCAAATCGAACCGCAGCCTCTCTGACACAAACACACAATCACATTCATTCACTGGGCCAGCCTACCTTCATCCGGACTTCGTAAGTGGTGAAGCGATTGCGGCCGACTCCTATAGTCTGCGGGTCGTACACATCGATTTCCAGAAAGTTGCTGGGAGGGCCGTAGGCATCCGTCAGGTCCTGCGGTTTAGAGTTTAACCGGCGAGTGTCGGCCACTGTGGCTTCGGACATCTTTGATGACTTCTTTCAGACTAACTACGTCGAGGTGTAGTCTAGGGTACGTACCGATGAGAAGGTTTTGATTAAGACATTAAATCGATGGAGGTTAAAATGGGCTAGGGTACTTCTGCGAACGAAAACTTGGATGTGTCCAGTTCAGCGATACCACAGGAAATCCTGCGTTTCTCGCACCCCTGATGCGACGATATGTGTGCAGTTTGGAAGACGTATTCATGAACCACCTTTTTTTTTTTTCCCCAGCTAGCCAATAGACGTTCTGTTTTATGATGACTGACAGTTAATTGACCTATAAGAATGTAGAAGACCGAGAAGGGGGTGGGCTCTTCAGGGTTCTGTAACATTTCATAACTGGAGGAGAGACTGGAAAGGTGTGGATTTTAAAATCTAATTTCTCGGATAGTCTTTTTTTTTTTAACCCATTAAAACATTATTAGTACACTGAAACATGTTCTATTTAGCACATTTGTTGATTTCAGTGTTGTGGCAGCCTGGCAGGCCTAGTCGTGATGAACAGAAAATGTTTATATGGCTATATTAAACGACCTGCTTTAAAACACGCAAACGTACCAAAATAATGCATAGAAGAAAATAAACTAGTGTTGTTTTATAGTTTACTATAGTTTGCGTAAGCCTACTATCTTGAATTAGTTTTATTTTTACTTTTAGGTTCTGTTTTCATTTTAAGTTTAGTTAAAATTGTAGTCATATTGTTGTATGTTTTGATATTTTTAATAGTTCATTTATTTTTATTAGTTGTATTTTTATGTCGATATAGTTTTCATTTCAGTTTTGGCTTTAATTGTTTTCGTACAACAAATTACAAATGTGAAATGTTTCCTTGAAAACTAGCTGAAATATGTTTGTTTTTATTTTATTTTATTTCATGTAAGCAACGAACATGTGTTGTGGTTGTAGTTTTAGTTGTAGCTGACTATAAAAACCATGCCATTAACTTGGATTCAGATAGGCCTACTTTAATTTTAAGGAAGTATGTTAAAATATAAATTTTTCCCATTATTTTGTTATATAGCATATTTTGGGTTATAGTCAATCACACAAACAAAAAAGAATGAAAGCCAAAAGCATCTTTTTACAAAACTTCCTACTCAGATAATATAGTTATCTCTATCTGTGCTGCATTTTTCTTTCTGAAAGGATTATTCAGATATTAGTTTTACTCGTGTTTATTTGGTGAAAATTACATGATTTGATATTACATAACTGTATACAGACCTTGGCATTCCTCTACCTCTGGTGGGTGCTAAACTTTAGCATAAAAAAACAAGTTAATGTTAAATCAAAACCCTTGACCCCGGCTGCCTTCTATATATTACTTTTTTATATTTTTTATTTTTTGAATGACATGATAAATTCAAATGGAAGTGCTGATACACCAATTAACTATTTACTGCAGTCTTGCAGTTGACAGATGTGTAACTCTCTCCAAATACACTGTTTTGGAATAAATAATTTCACGCATCAGGTTAAAAAGACCAGCAGGATGACGCTGTTTGCCTCTGTGAACTAGCCGTTCACTGCCCGACGAGCACTAGGACCCGGATGAGCACAGGTCTGGCGTGGTCTGCTGCACGCGCCCTTGTCAAAAGTGTAGTGTTGGCCACACGCGCGCTGCACAAGATGCTGCTGTACATTACAGTGAGGGACTGCTGAAGTCTGTTACGGAGTACTCAAGAAAATTATTCTCTTCGACATGGAGATCACAGATTCCACTTGTAAGTATGATTTTTTCCCCACACGAAAACAGCCTTACAATTATTGTCTTCGTAATAAGAAATAATGCGTTATTTGAATTTTTTTAACATTATTAAAGTAGCCTAAGTCAATCGCATCTTTTCTGTGTACCTGTACTGGAAAGTGAATCTGATGTTATTACACAATTCTTATATATTTTTTAAGATAAAAAGGAAAACTTATCAACACACTTAAACCGTTATGTTAGTGATGCAATATATGGCTATGAATGGATGGAAAGCATCACTATGTCTGTGTCTAGGGTAATTTCACGAAAAGAATGGCTTTTTGTGCCCCTATGAACATAGACGTAATAATTATTTACTTTATACATAATTATTTATAATTACAATTATAACCATTTTTTATAGAGTTTGGTGGATATATATATATATTTTTACATTTCTTTGTTATTATGTCCCCAGAATATACAGTATGTGCCAATTTTGTTAGCATCACAACTCCCCTTACGGAAATTATGTACAATTCCTTAAAAAAGCATAATAATATCATAATGACATAATCACCCTTTCTGCATTTGAACCCTTCAAGTAGGGGACAATCTTGAATAGTCAACCCTGTTGTCATGATTTTCTACAGTAAATAAATTTTTTTAAAATATAATTGCTCTTAAATGCAAATATATATATATATATATATCTTTATAGTCTACATCTCAATATAACTATATCTTTATTATAAGGCATATCAATAGACTTAGTATACCTGTACATCCTTTATATAGTTATCAATGTAAATATTTTACTATATAAATTATTGTAAGTGCATCTCGCTAATCTAAACCAAAAGGAGTATTTTCCATCTACTTTAAAAAAGGCTGGCTGTGGTGCCAAAAGGTCCTCACAGTCAGTGACGTAAGTCGCTTTGGATAAAAACGTCTGCTAAATGACTAAATGTAAATGTAAAAATGCATACTTTAAGTCTATTATGTATAAAAGCTTTAATAAATATACTTAAAATTCAATTTTTAAAATCAAAAGGCTGCTATTTTGTGGAATGACACTTATATTGACAAAATATCATTCTTCTCATTTCTTTTGTGTACCTCAAAATTATATTTTGTTAAAGGGGTCATATGATGCTGCTAAAAAGAACATTATTTTGTATATTTGGTGTAATGAAATGTGTTTATGCGGTTTAAGGATAAAAAAACACATTATTTTCCACATACTGTACATTATTGTTTCTCCTCTATGCCCCGCCTTTCTGAAACGCGTCGATTTTTACAAAGCTCATCATTCTGAAAAGCGAGGTGTGCTCTGATTGGCCAGCTATCCAGTGCGTTATGATTGGCCGAATACCTCAAGCGTGTGATGGAAATGTTACGCCCCTTACCATATTGTGATGATGTGTCCCGGAGCGACGAGACAAAACCAATAAAACCCATTACAAACGAGGCATTTGTTGCATCCAGTGGGGACATAATTATGGATTATAATGACTTATACTGTCTTTTTACGCATTGCATCGCACCGCGAAAACATAAAACCATGTCTGCATTTGTGATTGGAGAAATGACAAACAGCAAGTGCTACTCTACACTGCTCAAAACTCGCGTTTGAATCATCAGTGGCAAATTCTTTATGTATAAAAAACGTACTTATAGTCTGTGAGTCAGAACAGCCGGCATTGTAGTCTACTCTCCCAGGATCAGGAAACAGTCCTCCATAAAATGTGCTGCACACATCTGAAAAGTTGATGTATTTCCTCAGCGACCAGCACGGATCAGCTCCAGGCATGACAAAGCGGATATCGTCCTCTTTTGGAAGGCCAAACAAAGCAGTTTCGCTCTCACAACAAAACACAGCGTCTCGACATGGCGGCAGCAACAGTACTACAGCGAGAATAAAAGTTACGCCTTCGTTCTTTGCGTGAACATTTGGGCGGCGTTATGCAAATCTTCCCACATAGTGAGGTAGATATGTGGGGGCGTGTTAGAACAAAAGTTTACAAAAGTAATAACAGTAAAATTTTAACTCCTGTTACATTAATACACCTCCTTTTGCAGATTACTGCTGTAAATTTACAAAAATATATTCTTCTCATCCTGCATTCTTCATGTCCCTAAATTTCCATTGACCCAGCTATCAGCTCTTTCATCCTGCTGTTCTGAGCTGGTTGAAGGCCAGTTCAGCATGATGGCTATTCATGATCTGAAAGAAGACTTCCTTGCCCCTCATGCAGGAAATCCGCTTGAGAATGTGTTCAACTCTGAGTTTGTTTGCATGGATGCCAGGAAAAAACAGCCCATCAGCTACTTGTTGCTCTTTTTAGTTATGGGGGGATTTTGGAAATGCCCTTTTAAGTGTTTGCTTGCTTCTTGTGAGGAGCATTAGTGAGTTTAAACACGAAGGTGAACCTTACACCTTCAAATTTTATGAAAACTGTAGGGTCTGTGTGCTCTTACTCTGCTATGAATCATTAGTGTTTCGTTATGTTCAAAAACAGTTCAAAAGTTTGGGGTCGGTAATATGTACATTTTAAATTAAAATGTTTGTATTTTGTAAAATTATTTTATATATATTTTTTTTATTGAGGTCTCTCATGCTTACCAAGGCTGCATTTAATTGATCAAAACTACAATAAAAACAGTAATGTTGTGAAATATTATTACTATTTACAGCAACTTTTCTATTTTAATATAATTGAATGTGTAATTTATTCCTATGATTGCAAAGCTGAATTTTCAGCAGCCATTAGTAGTTAAATTAATGGTTTGTTTTTTCCCAATTGACCCTTCGCAAAGACGAAGTCGCCTCCCTTAGTTAATGTTGCTATGTCTTACAAGCCATGGCGCTTTCACGCCACACATCATGTTCTCACGCAGTGAAAAATACATCGCGAAGCAAAGAGGACACTAATGATGTGCCAACAGACAAAGCAGAGCAGGTATGAAACAAGGTCTCAAGTTTCAAATTTTGTCTTTTTTTTCAAAAGAGATTCAAACAATAAATACCATTTTGTGGCTCTTTAATGCGTCATGACAGATCGCTATAGTGCCTCAGTTCAAGCAGCACGTGAACCAATGATCTCTTTACTAGTTATAGCACCAAATAAACATGAATGAACATCAAACTTGTTTCAACCACAGAAAGACATCAATACACACACCATTTTTCAAGTTCAAGTCCAATGACATTAAATATACTCTCCTGACTGGTTTGTTTGTCGAACAAAATGGCAGATTCTGCATTATGGTTGATCAGATTGCCTGTCAATCAAACTAAGGGTCAATTGCTATTTAATTCACTGATTAATTGATTAACAGCAATTCTAGTCATATATTTGACAATATGCTTAATGCCTTTGATGCAAGACTTTTCAAGATGAAAACTGTGAAAGGTGGGAGTGGGGGGTCTGAATTGCACCGATTCCTCCAGTTCCTTATTCACATGGCTTATATCTATAAATAACCATGGCCAAACAGACAAAGGCTTCTCTCTTCAGCA